CCAGAGTACAACATGAGAATTCATTCTTCTTTCCTCAAACATCCTGTTTATGTTGTCAGTGCTAAACAAGGTTTTATACACCTTTCTCTGTTCCTGACAAATTTCTTATTACTGTGATAAGCGGGAAACTGCTAAGCCTCCTTAGTACTGCTTGTTGGTTTTTTTTCACTCCCATGCATTACGTTAAAAGGGAGGGTGAAAAGCCTAGCTTGTCATTTACAACTAAAAACACAAGAAGTGCTGTTTGAAAATTGAAACTCTATTAAAGTAAACAAGTAACTAATCAAGGGAGATTAGCAAAGAAATCTGCTCTAGTAATTGCAGGAAACAAAAGACACAGTTGAATAGAGTGAAAGAGCCAAATTCCTATCTCTTTCAACCTGCTAACATATAAGCTCCCATGCAATGCATCAAACAGGTTCAAGAGGGCCTGTACTGCAAGTCTTGCTTCAATGTTGGCCTACCATGTGACACTGGGTAACATCATGCCTTAGCTACAAGTGAGTCTTATGTATCCTGTCGAAAAACATTTTGAAAACTATATAATAATAATATATAAATATATTATATATTATATATTATATAATACTATATAAATATGTAATTATCATTATTATTAAATTCCTTTCCTTTACTGGCCATCTCTAAAAGACAAAGAAATTGAAGAATATTTTCTATCTTGATTGTCTGGTTTCCCTCCTGAGGACTCAAATATGAGGCAAGGGGTTAAAAAGCAATACTCCAGAATCTTATGCTCCTTATTGGAGTGTTACCTGTGCAAAGAAAACCACCTGTAGGGCTGGGCCCAAAGAATATCGGAAGAGTTTTACTCTTCTGTAAAAACAACAACAACTAAGTCTGCATTTTGTCTCACTTATTTTGTACTATTGAGAAAATCTAAAGCAGAAGAAAATCAATTAATTATGAACACTATTAACCGCTGGATCTTTCCTCTGTTTATGGAAAAGTGACCTATTTCACTCTTTTGTTTTTACTTCTCTATCTTCCTAATGGTCACTTGCATCATTCTTCCATTTCTCAGAAAGAATTACAGAGAGGGTAGTTGCTTATTCTTGCTTATGAGGAAATAGTAATCTAAACGAAAGATATAGCAGACACAAATGCATCAAATTTAATGGCATTTGATTTTCATTCAGATGACACTGTCTATGAAAAGAATTGACAAAGACAGCTCCCTGCTTGTTGTCAGTGGGAAATGGTTTCAAAAATATCTGTCTAAATCTTCCCTGGCATTTTCCACTATATTTTTTGGTGTGAGTTTAAAGGTCATCTCCCTATTATTTAATCCCGGCTCCCTCAAAAATATCTCCAAAGAATTTTCTTATTAGCATCTGAAAGAAACTGTTACCTTTAAAGAAACCTTGGCAACCTTAATTTTGAAAAAGCATAGTATATCTTGGGAAAATTTACTTCTGTCACAAAGATGAGTAGATAGTGTGTGTTTCACTGGGAATGTTCAAGTCCTTCCCGTGGTATTTCCAGTCATAGGAAGCAATGAATATGGATAACGAGAATTACCTTTCCTGCAGTGCCTACAGACTTTTGTCTGTTTGGTATAAGAAATCTATTTGCCCCCTCTTCTAATTTCTCAGTACTGAAGGGTATGCAGAGGGATGGGTAGAACTGCACTCTATGAAATTCTGCTCATTCTAGGGATAAATTGGTCTGAAATTGAAATCTGAACTGCTCAAAATGTGTAACACGTGAAAGAAACATACTTTTGAATATCTGGAAATGAACAGAAAAACAACAACAACACAACAAACAAACAAACAAAAAAAAACACTCAAATCTTTGCCGGGGCTGAAACTAAATTTGTATTAAATAAATAAATTGGATTGTTCGAATAGAAATGAGTCAATTCAAAAGAGAAATAGAACATATGCTATGTGCATATGTTGTTAAAAATAGAAAATCTGCTAAGCTGTATTATAGGATTGATAAGATTTTGTTTGAAATTACCACTGTCTCCTTATGGTTTTATCATGTGCCCATACTCAGTATAAAATCAGACAACATTTAAACACATAGATTTAACTTTCTAAAACACTCATAATAGAAAACCTAAGACCATTATGCCAATTCTACATCATCACCAGTTGGATAGGTGAGGAGAGAGCAGCAGTTGTTGTGCACTTTCACCTCAGCAAGGTTTTTGACCCTGTCTCATCTAACAAACTGGCTGACTGGCATAGATCTGAGTGTTTTGATCAGTGGTGCAGAATGTAGTTAATCATAGAAGCGTTTGATTTGGAAAGGACTCTAAACAGCCAGATAGTTCAACTCCCCTGCAAAAAACAGGGAAACCTACAGCTAGATCAGGTTGCTCAGATTCCAGTCCTGACCTTGAATGTCTTCAAGGATGGGGCATTATTCACAACTCTGGGCAACCTGTTCCAATGCCTCAGCACCCTTATTGTAAAAAACTTCTTCCTTTTAACCAAAGAAAATCTCCCCTCTCTTAGCTTGAAACCGCTTCCCCTTGTCCTATCACAACAGACCCTGAAAAGAGTCTGACCCCTTTCTTCTTATAGCCCCCATTAAGATACTGGAGGCCTGTGGCTAATGATGTTACCAGGGGTTGGTACTCTGCTTGGTCTTCTTCAGCATCCTTATCAGTGACCCGGATAAAGGAATGGAATGCACTCTGGAGTACTGCATCTAGTTATGGATTCCTCAGTTCAAGAAAGTCAGGGAAGTTCTAGAAAGAGTCCAGCAGAGAGCCATGAAAGTAATGAGAGCGAGTGTGAATCAAGTGGGTGGGACCTGGATCCTTCCAGTGGTGCCCAGTGACAGGATAAGGGGCAATAAGCATGAAATGGAATGTAAAGATTTCCACAGAAACATGAGGAAGAACTTCCTTACTGTGAGGGTGACAGCACTGGAACAGATTACCTAGAGAGATCATGGATTCTTCTGCTCCGGAGAAATTCAAAACCTGCCTGAATGGTTTCCTGTGCAACCTATTGCAGGGAACATGCTTTAGCAGGAGGTTGTACAATATGATCTCCAGAGGTCCATTCCTATCCCTAGCATTCTGTGATTCTGTGATGATAGAAATATTTCTTATTATTTTTAGAGATATGACAAAACTCAAAATAATGAAATGCAGCGACTATCTTCTCCATAGCAATGTTACCTCCTACAATAACACGTTCACATTTATTTACTACATATCTTTAGTCATAATTCATTAAGAATCTTGGGCTTCTGTACATTGAATTAAATTCATAACAATGTATCTGAACAAATCAAAGGTTCTTAAGTTAACACAATCTTAATGGTATGATAACACTAGAATGAAAAAGTCTTTTCCTTTCTTTCTTTATTATTTATTTAATTTATGAATTTATAAAACTATTATCTCCAGAAAATATAATCTTCTACGCACTGAATCTTAAGGGACAGTCTGCCAAAAATGTTGTCTAGTAAGTAGAAACAATACTAACCCCTGGGTTCACATGGTGACCCAAGATGGATTTCAGCTTCTAAAAAGGCAAAAATCGTGTATACAACTTTTTAAATGTGATCTCGTTTCCCTGAGAAGAAATTCTTGCAGAGGGTGGTGAAACACTGGAACAGGTTGCACAAGGAGGTTGTGAATGCCCCATCCCTGGAGGCATTCAAGGCCGCCAGACTGAATGTGGCTCTCGGTAGCCTGGTATAGTGGTTGACAACCTTGCCTATGGTAGGGGGGTTGAAACTAGATGGTCTTTGAGGTCCTTTTCAACTCAGGCCATTCTATGTTACAATTCTATGAATTTACGTAAAAATGGTTATCAATTGAACACTAGAGCTGAGAAAAAAAGTTACCAAATATCTTCCATTATTAAAAACAGCATATTCTGCACAGGTGAAAATTGAACATTAAATAATACAAGAATTTCATTTATTTTAAAATTTTGTATAAAAATGAAAATCTATATTTTTTTTAATAAATGTTTTTCAAATTACTGTTTACAAGCATTAGTATTTGTTTCAAGAGAACTAAAGAAAGATGGTGCTTCTTTTTCCAATTTCAAGAGAGCTTTTTTTTGCTTATTTTCTTTGAGTTGCATATGAATGGCTTTCTACAAAGGGACTATGAGCTCTGAGAAGAGGCTACCAACTGAACATGAAGTGACTAGTTCTGTCAGTACTTACAGGCCATTAGAGAGAGAAAAAGTCTTTAACTGATAAGAAATGAAGCTGTCAAAAATCTTCGTAAGATTCTCAGTAATTGTCTCTACAAAGAATAAAGAAAAACAAAGAGTCAAGAAAAAACTTCACTGAACTCCAGAAGGGGCAGAATTTGGATAGAAATAATGGAATAAAATCTTTGAAACCTTCTAAACTAATCTACATTTTATGAGCTATTGCATGCAAACAAAACTGAACATTTTGTATTCCCAATATCCTCTGTAAAGCTGATGAATGCAGATTTTTTTATGTGCTGTAGGAAAATGTGATTAAAATTAACATTAGGTAAGGGACTTAAACCTGTCAGGAAATCAGGAGGGACTGGAAGGAATTTCTCTTAGAAGAAAATGCTGAAGGTTTTTATTTTAGTGTGCTTTATACTTGCTGATGTGCTTTCTTTGTAGTTTGGCTATACTTCTGTCAGAGATACAGTGAACTCCTCTTGCTGTATGTCGAGTATAGTTTCACTATACTGTGAAGACTTCCAAGAGAGAAATTTTCCTTTCCGGTCAATCCAAAGAGTTTATTAAGAATTGGATTATTATTAGGGGAAGTCACAGTTTTCTGTGAATTGCAGAGAGGAAGACATTTTAACAGGATGACAGCTTAACATTCCAAATATTTGGATAGAAACAACTCTTTCTTCACGTAACAGCCGGCTTGGGACAATTTCTTTTGTCTATTACGGTTCTTTTTCATATGTAGGAATATCTAAATCTTCAGAAGAGGACTATTTGCCAAACTGTTTAAAGGATATTATATAGTATGTTGAATAAAAGTTCTTGAACGATTACGCATGCACCACCCCACAGCCCATTGTTACTTTTTCCTTTTTCCACTGAGCGTCCTTCTGCTTTTATTTGTTGTTTTTTTTTTTTTTAAATGACAAGTTCATTTATACCTGAGGTATACATTTTGCATACAAGTAGTTTATTCACAGTGTAAATTAAGAATAGAGTGTTTGTGGTAATAAACATAGACTATTCAGGTAATACATTCACCTTTCAGCTAATTCTACTCCAACTGTGGAATTTCTTAACTGTTCAGTAAAGAGCCCACTCATCAAATGAGCATTTGCTTGTTTGTTTGATTCACTCCCTAGTTTATCTGTGAGAAAATTAAACAGAAACCATCATAACGAAAAAGAATTAAAGCATTACATTAGAGACTACTCTTTAACTAAACAACTGGCAAGGAGAAACCTTTGCCTCCTCAAGTATTCTCATTCCCAGGAGGACCACTAACACACAGGTCCGCTCCCACAGGAGACTTCTGCAGTGTTTTATTTCCTCTGACTCCTTGCAAGTATAAATAGAGTTTAAGTTTAGAAGTTTAATCTGATCCAGGCCCAACTAATTTCCAGTTCCATTCAGCTCTTTCATATCATGGCCAAATCTCACACGTACGTTTCGTCCCTGTCCAGACTATGAAGACTCAGCAGTTACTATGGAATTATCACAGTTTTAAAAGTGGGAAGCAGAAGTTAGAGAGGAGATTGTGGAGAGCTCCAAGTTTGGCAATCACATTTTCGAACAACTAATTTTGTAAGCATGCAGAATGGCAGTGATTGTGATGAAATTCATAACAACTTAGAGCGTGCACACATGTAGACTACTTCACTGATCACTACATCTTTCAGTGGTAATAAGTTGTAACAGAATTAGTATCATCTTAAACATAATACAGAAGGAACTTAGAGGAATTTTTCTAGGAGATAAGGAAATGGAACATTTTTTATGTGGCACAAGGTCACTAAATTATGACTTATTTTATTACTTATTTTCTATATAGCCCAGAAAATCACGTGGTATTGATTAACATGACAGAACAGTGAGCAATGTCCACAAACACTAATTTTCACTAGTCACAAAAAGAAGTTTCTCTTTCTTTATAAGATAGTAAGTATATCAGTAATCTTGATGTAAGAAACGTGTTGAATTATGATGAAACTTAGAATGGAAGTAGACAATCAATATGAGAAGGAGAAAACAAAACATAAATAAATAAATGTTACACATGAAAGAAAGCAGAAGCAGACAGGAATATGCTTTGAAGGAACTCACTACAACATTCTACATATTTTGACTACACTTTACTGTAAATAACTGTGTGTGGTTTTCATGTCAGAGATGTCTATTTATTTGTACTAGCAAATGGGAGTAAAAATCAAAATAAGAAGCAGTTTCTGAAGTGGCTTGCTGCTTTCAAAAATATGCCCTTATTTTAGTGAAAGTTGATATAATTGTCAGGAAATAGAGTTACTTTCTTACTACATGCTGCATTTCATTTCTCCAGAAAAACCTATATGTATTTACAACAGTATTTATTTCTGATTCTATTATTCCCAGCCTCCTCAAGTAAATATAATGCTTTTAGAGTATTTTAAACCTTTTGGTAGGAATTGCTGAGGCATCAGCGAGTCCTTCAGGGTTAAAAAATAATAGTTCTATCTATTACTAAAAACAGAAGAAAACAATAATTGCTACATATTTAAAGTACAGACCCTTTCCGCCAAAGAACGTATATCCCAAACTTATCTACATGCTTGACAAATAAACAATGCTGAAAAATATTAAGAAACTATTTGTCTATTTGTCACTATTTTCAGAGTGAGATCTTTCTGGATTGTGTATCCAAAATTTGACTGTGTTAATTTTCAGTACTGTGAATCATTTTCTTATGAATCAAACTTTATAATAGTTGCCATTGATATACGTAGTAATGATTTTGGAATCATTACTGTTTTCATCACAACAGAAGCAGGTGAGACATCCTAATAAAAATAGATTTGCATGATTGTCCATTACATGTTCAAGATCACTTTTAGACGGAATTTCACTTGCTGTTGAAAGGTTGAGACAAACTTAGAATACAGGTTTGAATTAAAGATTTGCTCTCTTAATGAATTGCTTTCTCTGAAGCAGTCTGAGAGAAGACACTTGAAGGAAGTGCTCATCTAAAACCTGGCTTTGAGATAATATATCACCAGACTCCTTTGGTGTGCCTCCCAGCTGTGTAACACTAAAAGAAATTTAAGACTGAGACTGATAGGAAGAACAAAGAATGGTAATTCTTTCAGCATGATGCTTGCTTACTTCTGTTAAACAAGACAAGAAACTTGGGAGTTACCAGGCTACAGATTTTTAGGATAGTATATTTTCCATTAAAAAAAAACAACTATTAAGCAATCTAAGGAAAGATATTTCAAATAATATACCGAAGTATTGCCACTTAACATCAGTAGTGTTGAATCAGATCTGTTAATGAAGAAATAGAAAGAAAATACCAAACACTTCTTTGGAAAACACTAGCAGTATTATGGGTGCTCAACAGTTTTAAATAAATGTTTGTTTAGAGAAATTAATAAATACAAAAAATCAAAAAGCATTATCTTGAGAAAAAGCATCATTCAGCTTTTCAGGAAAATAATTAATTTTCTTCTGGAAGAAATAGACAATTCAACTCTTAACACCATTAACTCAAAATTATTAAGAAAAAGAACAGAGAATGGGAACTGAAATGGAATCATTATATCATTATCATCTATATCATTATAGAGGAAGATTAGAAGCCAAAGTATTAGAAATTTGTAAGATGAATTTGCAGTGTAAGATGATCAGAGTATATCTGGGAGAAAAGCGCTGGAAAGGAAAATGGGATATTTATGGAATTATAGAACAATGAACTTAAATGGAACAAAATAATCAGGCCAGTCAGTGATCTGCTAAATTTAACACTGAGAGGAATCCTTTTCATTTATATTCATGGTCATTCAGATTTCATTTATTGGCACTATAACACTTTTTGTGATATCGCCCTAAAAATGAGCTGAAGAAATAGGGTAAGTCTAATAAGACAGTAAATACGAAAGAGAGTGAGGGCCAAGTATCCGGTGCAGCTAAAAGATTGTTAAATAGGGACTTCATGGACAGCAGAAGAGTGATTCGTGAGTCTGATGTTTGGCACAATCACAGACTTTTATATATTAATCCCCTTAAGCTGATCTCTCTTGAACACTATGCGAAGACTACACCCTTTATAATCAGAGATCACATCTACAACTTGGATTATTCCTGGGCACTGGAAAACATATATATAGAATATATATAAAATATATATATAAAATACATACTGAAACTAGTAAAATATTCTCTAGAACAAAACTGGCTTGTTTTAACCATCATTCTCTTAAGAAGTTCCTGGCCTTACTTCAGGAGCCTGAATAGTAATTCAAGTTCCATACCTATTTATTGTCAATTTGTACATTATCATTTTGGTTTAGCAGTTAGGGAGCTCCATGTCACATTAGTTTCAACATCTGGGAGGGATCTGAGACTTGTTAACATAAATGCAGGCTAGAAGGATGATTTCAAAATGTATTATGGCAAGCTTTAGGCCTTTATACTGCTCTCCTCTTCCTCCATCTAGCCATGACTTGCATGTAAGTTTATATTACTAGACAAAAGTAGAAAGAACTAGTTTCCTGTGAAGCAGTATCTTTTATTTCCATACAGCTTTATTATATTGATTGATACTAATTCTAAGACCTCTCTAATTTAGTCTTAAAACAGTAAAAATTAAAGAGAATAAGTCTGTTCCTTTGCATGAATTGAGCAGTTCATTAGAACATAAACCTGCCTTTCACAAGAAAGGTGGAAGCTTCTGGAGCATTTAGAGAAGCAAGATTGCAGATGAAATTGCAATTTTAATATAATAAAAAGGTCACAGTGATGGTCAATGTTAAAACATCCCCATTTTGCAAATAGACAATATTGTAGCATTCGCTCTTCTTATACGCCATAAGTATTTTTGGTAATTAATAAAGTGAAGAATAATCAGACAGTATGAAAACAAAAACAAAAAAAGCATAAATTATTTATGAATTTAGAAGTTTTAAATAAATTCTTAGTAGCGTAAGCTCTCCTAAAAACACTGCGCTATCATTATCATTGGTGATGTACTGGCTGCCCAAAGAATCTGTGGATGCTCTGTCCCTGGAGGTGTTCAAGACCACAATGGATGGAGCCCTGGACAGCCTGGACTAGTACCAGATCTGGAGGTTGGTGGCCCAGTCTGTGGCACGGGGTTGGAACTTGAGGATTCTTGGAGTCCCTTCCAACCCAAGATATTCTATGATTCTATGATTACTCGAACTTTTCAGCACCTGCTAAAATATTTGAAGATTAATTGCTATTCATTAAATACCAACCCCCATCCCAACACACAGTTTTCAGCATTGGAACATTCTCAGATGTGAAGCAAAGACTACTTAGTTTGCATATGTACAACATGTAGCACATAACAGTAGTTTACTTCTTACCCTTAATTTCACTATCAACCCAAGAAAAATGAAAGTACTGACTGAATCATTTGTATTTTCAAAGACTTTTGCTGCTCTAACACACCTACAAATCTATAGCTGTGATCAAGAGAATACACACTGCTTCTTCTGCTCCTACTCTGAAAAATTACCCAACTCTACCCAACTCTGAAAAATTACCTTGTTCTAGTAAAAACAGAACAAAGGCTTAAAATATGAAAATGTTTCAAAAACTTTTGAAGTCAAGCCAAACAACAAAGGGCTATTCAGTTTCTATTACCTGTCTCATGTGTGATGGCACTAGCATAAATAACGGTAACAAAATAAAATAGTAGTATTTTAAAACTGATCATTGATAGAAATAATAATACATTAGTGGCTTTAAGAATTAGTGTCTTCGAAATGCAATTGTAGTCATTATCAAACAGCTCCTTAAAAAATGCTGAGAGTTGGTAGAGTACAACTTGCACTTTCTCACTATTTGAGACATCCAATTTGCTAAGTGTTTGAATAGTTCTCAATTTTTTAATAAGTCAAATTAAAATCATTGTGCATAGCATGAAAATTTCTAAAAATTTTATTTGTTGGTTGTACTCATTTTTAAAAGCCTTTGACATACGCAGTTTTTACTGCTCTTGTAACCTGATATCACAACATATGTTCAAGATGATGCTGGCAAGTAAGAAAGGGGCTTCCACATTCTTTCACCATAGCAGCTTGCATGTCAATCTTAAATCCTGATTTCCATTACAGTAAGTAACTTAAGAAATAACTGGAATAAATATTAAAAGTAAGGAAGATTTGCTTGCTATATATTCTCTAGTATACCCTCTATTTCTCTAGTCAATGCACTTTGGGGCATGTTACTGAACATACTGATTGATTTTTACAATTACATCATAGTAAAAAAAAAATTATGTACTATCTGTTTGCATAGAAGGAATGTATAAAATTATTTTATCTGGCTTACTACTTGAGATAAGGAATATGAGGATCATATCTCCTATCACTGTATCCTACCCTAACTCTACCCAAACTGAAAAAGCCATTTCATAGATGAGCTCAAATGGATAATTTGTTGTATCCTATCTGTGATACAATGGTGTTAAATAGGTGAGAAAGTACATACAGTTACGTTTCAAAGTGTTCTTTAGAATTGCATCAGATTTAACTGGCATTTTAACTGGACATTTCCCTCCCTCCCTCCCTTTACCAATTTTCATGTATGCAGAAAAAAATCAGGGCAAGATTTATTGTCATCAGTTAACACTGATAGAAACATTCAGACCACACAAAATTTTTAAGTCGACCCTGATACCAGTGGGTACTCTGTCCTGATATGTGACATGCTGCAACAGTAACATTTTGTCAGCTGTCACTTATTTCAGGTTTTACTGAGAATTCAGTAAAACTGGAAGTGGCAATCTTACTGTCACATATTCTACTAGAAATTCTCAAAGATCATTGCAGATATGATTTGAATGGCTATACTTGAGCCATCATCTAACCATTTTCAAAGTGAAACTCAGCCAGACCCAAAGGATATAAATTAGCTTTACAGGTGGCCTGTCTTTCACATCACTGTCAGCACTGCTGAAATGCAGCACCTGTTACCTCACTATGTTCACATCCACTGCTTATCAATGTTCATCAAGCGCTGATGAATGTCAGTGGGTACCATTGTTTCTGCATGGAGGATTTCAGTAACACACATTTGCTTAATGCCCACTTCCATGTCAAATACCATTTTGCCAGGCTCTCCCTCTGCTGCCACCTGTAACAAAGCAAGAAAGTATAATGGAATATTTGTGGGAAGGTTCAACCTCTTCTGCTGTTCCACTGACATCTGCCTCTGATGCTGTGGGCCAAAATAATAAAATAGGAGGCAGTACTTTTCAGCTGCCCTTGCAGTTAGTCATACTATTTACCTTGTAGTCTCCTGTACTACGACATTTCATGGTTCATAATCTGTTCAATTTGAGTGTGATAGGAAAAAAAAAAAAAAAAAAAAAAAAAAAAAAAGAGGAAAGAAGAAATAAAAAGAAAACCTAGATTCCTTGGTTTCATGTGAAGATAAGAATATTGGTCTATCAAACAGTGAATTTTGATTTTCTAGCCATGTAACTAAACTGAAAATAACAGAAGTCATTAATCCTTCCAGCATGTCCCCTGTCTCTGAAGAGGTAGACTTACAGTCTACAGACTCTACATGCATCTCCTAACAAAGATGACATGTATCTTTTCTAAATGACAGGCCACAAACATGGTAAGAGTATAAGATGTCACACACCTGGATTCTGCTTACATTTGGAGAAACTTCTGCCTACAAAGGAAAAAGACACTTCTGATCAGGATGTGCTTCTGTTTGGTGGTTTGGAGAACTGAAGGACTATTTTACTGATGGTTTATTTATGTTTGTTTATTTTTAAATGGCAGCTGTCCGCAGCTGTTCTGTGTTTGGAGCGTGAAATTAAGTCTCAGGAGAGATGGATTACTGGATAGACTGCCAGGAAGTCAATCAAAAGTTCACAGTGTAAGTGTTTAATCCTATGGCTCTGAGAATCTATCACAGAGCTTCTTTGTGATTTGCTAATTATATATATATATTTTTAACAATCCTGCATCATAATTATGTGCAAACGCAAGAATACTTCCTGTCATACTGCTAGCATTTATAAGTACACAGTATGAGTATTCAATATTCTGGAATATTCTACTTAAGTCTATTACTGTTCTGTTAGTTGCTTTTAGTAGAACTACTTAATGAAATAAAATCTAAGCTTTGGAAATGCTACATTTTTGTCACGTACTCTTGCTTAAAACACAGTTAATCTTTTTTTCCAACCAATAATACTGCTGCAGTAGCCCTTCAATTTTTCAGCTATATTATTTAAAAATAAAATCTTTAATGATAGCATTATTTCTGAGACACTTTTGGAAGGAAAAAGCTAAGACAGACATCCTAATTAAATGCACTCGATGAAAATTCAACATTTTCACTTCCAAAAATCCCACTAAAACAGTTCAGATAAAACATGATTCTTAATATACAGAGACACAAAAATATTGTAGAGCTGATATTTTAATATAGCTCTTTGACTTGATATCATTGTTCCCCCTAAAATACTTTTGGTAAAGCAATAGCAGCCAAACTGCTGCAGTAAACTAATAGATGCAATGAAACTCTATTGGTACCTTGAGATTTTTGGGAAGAGAAAGAGATAATAGACAAGAGAATTTGGATATCACTCTTTCATTAATTCATAATGTTTATCTTGTCATAACTTTTACATGCAATGGTGATACAACATATGTGAAAAACATAGATGAGAAAGCAGGTGCAAACATTTTAGGAAATTATTCATCAGTAGATGGAAAAGCTATTGATCTTTAGTGAATCATCTTCCCAATTTCGCCCACTTATTCCCTTTCTTTTCGTATTTACATCTTTATGAACCTCTAAGTAATGTATATCTGAGGAGAGGGAGTGTATGGGAACTGCTGAATCATGGCCTGTGCCTCTGATTGACCACATGAGGCAAGCAATGAATCAGCCACCGGAGTGAGTTACCTTCACCTGTGCTACCAGAAGGGGTGGAGCCTGGCTCCACTTCTCCGAGATCCTATTTAAGTGTTGACTGCCACAAAGGAAGGATCTCTTCCTGGAGATCATTCCTTGGGGAGAGTATTGTGAGCCTATACCATCAGTAAGGACTTTCCATTTTTTTATTGTCCTTTTGCATTGATCTTATTTAGCCTAACTTTAATGTATATTTCATAATTATAACATCTGTACACTCATTAATTATACAGGGAGGTAAAAGACGGAGGCGATTAACTCTTTCTGGAAAGACACATAAGAGAGATCATTTATCAGCTAACAGATCAAAATGGTTTTTAATTTGTAATACAGGTGAGATTCTCCTGCCAGCAGGATCCTGGGAGTTTACAAAGAAGCATAAACAGTTACTGCAGACAACTGAGTAACTTCATCCTAGTAGACTCCAACCAGATACAAAGAAAGAGATCAAATCTTTAGAGGAGAGCAAGCTAGTCCTCAAGAAAACACTTCGTCATGTGGAAGAGTGACAAGATTAAGATTTCTGCATTATAGTAGGAGTTTTCTGTTTATTAGGAGAAACTGAACAAGGGTGACTTCCTGTCTGTTAAAGGACCTGGACCCTGCAGGTCCACCAACTTACAGAAAGTGCTAAAAATTAAATATTTATCGTGTTAGATCTCAAAAGTGCTGCAAATCCCTAACGAACTAGAATGGTTCAGCAATTATCTCTCAAGTGCCACGTGCCAGCAGGAGTACAAAGTGTCAATGCTAAAAGCCTAATTTGACTAGGTTTTAGTGCAGAATGAAGAAACAAAAGCATGAATGAACGTCAAGAGGAATAAGCAATAAAAAAGATCAATTAGATGTTGCTCCTAGAGACGCTAGGAAATATAGGACTGATCTTTAGGCCATTTGGTCTCCTTTGGCCAAGTGCTAGCTAATCTAAATTCCTTGCCTGAGGCCTGCAAGGCATCTCCTTACATTTATGTCTATCAAAGCATAGTGAGGGCTGGCCTTTAGCCCTGAAAAAAGAGAAGGAATTTGCCTCCATTATGGAGAAAAACATGACTTTTTCAGCAGTCCAGAAAGAGAAGTCCAATCCAACAGTTTGGTCTGATGCAAAGTCTGAGCTCTGGCTTTGTGTGCATATGTTTCACTAGCAGTCTGGAAGATCATGATTCATGTTGCTCTAGTTCAGAAAGTTCTGCATCTACTATTTGATGCATTGATCCTCTCACTTAATAGCTAGCCCTTAAGACATAATAACTTACAGATATATGCATTTATTCTACAATGCTCTGAAAGGTCTTTTTAAATATTCATTCTATTCTGCTAAATAAGCAGCCCTCCTTTCCAAGAGGCCTGTGATTAATACTCCTTTCATCTGTCACCACTATGCACAGCCTTTGGGGCAGCCTGATCCTCTTGCCACTCCAAAAATTTAACTTCAACTTATTTTCAATATTGCTACTGCCAAGCTTCAAGACTTTAGGCAAATCACTTGACCTTATTGCATCTCACTTTCCATTAAATCGGGGGTAGTGCTTAGCTTCACAAAGTATGTCAGTTTTAAAGATTAAAAAAAAATATTATATATGAACTTAGTATAATTATTTTACACACAATGGAATCTTCATCTTTTAAGATGATGCCAGTGGTAAAGCTGTCAACTCAAAATTGATCCTGACCGCCAGAATCTTATATCACTATTATGGCTGAATGCCATCAACAGGGTCATAAAAGAAGGGAAAGGACACACTTGTTAAATCCATTTGACAGGACATCACCAGTAGTGCACGTGCAGGATTTGTTGTTTTGTTTTATATGAATGTGGTATAACTGAGAAGGATATTTTATATAGATAACACAAGAGAACACAGAAGATGCATGGCAGAATTTTCTGTTGAAAAGTAAGCTGACTGTAAAATACAATGCTAAGAAATAGTTCTAACATGTCTGCTGGTGCTGGTTTAAAATAGTGACTTGCCTTTCTGCCTAACTATTCTGAATGCTGTGAGATAACTACTTCAAAATGGCCTAAAAATTAATTAAATGGTAAACTAATGAGTTAAAAATCTTACTGTTATTTAATAAGTATGAAGAAAATAAATTTTCACATAACGTAGTGAAATTATGTAAGAAATAATAGCATATTAGATGTCATATTTATTACATTAAATGTGTGAACATTGTTAATACATTAACATTTAAAAAGGTAGCCCATGGCAAGTCAATTTCACAGCAATTAAAACTGAAAACCTGGTAATTGACATTTGATAAGTGTGTTAATTGATATCAAGCTTGCAATAGCTAACATGTTAAATGTCAATTAAATCCATGTGTTTTTACAATTAGAATTTATTAATAAAGAATCTAATTACAAAATGTTGGTTATGTCAATTTGTGTTAATTATGCAGCAACTGAATTTATAGCTGAAAAACTCTGTCAGCCCTCAACAACACATTAAAAAAAAAATCCTTTTTTTTGCATTTAACACATGTATTTTGTCATACTAGTTATAGCAGATGGGGAGAAAATGCTAGATTGATAGTACAATAAAACTGCTTCAATCTCATGATATTGAAAAAACCTAAGAAGAACACCTTGAGCATAGCTTTTGTGATCTGGTGATCATGTAATTACTGAGATCTCTTCAAAACATTTTAAATAATTGTTCTCTAGTTCTGTGAAAGCACAACTACAAAAATATTCCATGTGTAATGTGGGGAATATTCAGTAAACAAAATAAATGAAGTGTCCATATTGTTAGTGTGCTATCACTTATGGAACAGTGATTCTGAGTGCTAAGCATATAGCCATGCTTGGACTACACTGATCATAGGTATACCCTTATGTTATGAGCTAGTAAACTGCAAATGCAAAGCAACCAATGCAAAATGTGGGTTGTTTGGCCTAATTTCAATAGGCTGATATTTAGTCACAAGGACTGCTTTAGAGATTATTAGATCTTTTAATTTGATTTGTTCAGATATTTTCCCATGCCAGTTTTAGAGATGAAAGTGACTGGCTGGAAGTTTGTTCTAAATGGAAGAAAGCAAACTGAGTATAGGATTTTACTCTTATTCTTGCACAAGAAAAAAAACTTTGAGACCTACTGCCTCTGAAAGAACATCAAAGAATGGGATATATCCCTAACATACGTCACAGCTTACCACGAGTGTCAAACTCTCATCATCACAGCAGTATAATGAGCTCTTACACAGTCTTAAGTCATCTATCCAAACTTGTAGCTAAGCAGCAATTAGTTTACTTATAGGCCATGTGGGCAGACCTGTTCTACCATGTTTCTGGTTCCTGCCCTTGGTGGCACATGGTATTTTAGGCCAACATGCTTGGACATAAACCAGGAAGAAGAGTTATTGCCACTAATACAACGAAGGAAGTTATGAAACTGGAACTGTTGTGAATGACTAGAGGTATCAACCACAGGTAAGAAAGACAGTCAGCTAGCAGAATTTAATTTAGATAGAGAAAATGAGCACCATAGGTAAGGGGGAGGAGAAGGAAAAAAGTGTTGCTTAATATCCTCAAAGTACATACAATAAATTAAGAGAGTTGGAAGAAAGTCAGAAAAACTGGAGAAAAAGAAAAAAAGGGGAGAAAAAGAGGAAAAATATACTAGACTTCTATGCTATTTCTTCTTCATCTCGAGTTTTTTTTAATTTTTGAAAATGTGAAAGATTTCAAATAAACAGTAAATCTTAATGACATTTCTATTGGGCTGTATAAAGAATTTCAA